TCCTGCCAGGGTCACAGCTCCCCTGTTGACACATTTGACTTAGTTTTTCCTTTAGTATTCATTTCTCAGAAGTAGTATCTGTTGAAGACAGATCAGCCTGGAAAGATAATTAATGTTTGAGCATCAGCTGAAATACTAGATTATTTTCCTACTCTGAGCAGGAGGTTAGACTAGGTGACAGCCTCAGGTCCCATTCAGCCTGAATTACTTACAGCTACAATAAAAACATCTAAACACCAATAGATCAGGCCAGAAAAAAACCCCAGGGTTTTGTCCAGTATCAGGGCAACTTTCTCCTTTATTATACCTTATTAAATATTCTAGAAAATCTTAACGCAAACACATAACTCAATTTATTTTACTCAAATTCACAAAAGATATTTACAGAACTGTAACTGGCTTCAACACTTTCTCAAAATGCAGCACTCCAGAGGCCTGTCTGACAGAATGGCTTGCATCCCAGTTAACACTTAAGTACTAAGTAGGACAGAGCTATCCACCTATGGAACAAGGGTTCCAGAAAACTTGGGTCAGCTTGCTGACCATGAGGCTGGGAGGTGGGTCTGGCTCAGTAGTTAGTTTTACAGTGCTTTGACAACTTTTACAGTAAGCCACAGCCTGTTTATTAGCTATCATACCCTATTCCTAAAGCCTTTTCTTCTAAATCTTAAACAGTCAGAAGAAAAGTGAAATGCATGACAGACAAAAGGATTAGTCTCAGGTGGTGCAGACTCCACAACAGGAGGTAGAGGCTGAATGCCCAGATGCATGCTGCTGGGCTGAGGCCTAAACTCTGCTTTTGTTTTCATTCCCTTAAGAAAATGGGGGAACATATCCAATGTCCACAGTGATGTTGGTATAAAGAGGATGCTTTGTCCTGGAAAGGAGCTTGAACTCTAATGAATTCATTCCATCATCCTTCCATGTTTTTCTGGTGTTGTGTCGGGAAGCAGGCCTGAAGAAGGAAGAATACCTGCAGTTAGACAGGAGAACAAGGGTGATGTTTGCAGCTGAAGCTGCAGAAGAAACAGACTTCCAGAGGGGGCAAGGGCTGAGCAGATGAAAGCTGCTAGCAGGAAAGCCCAAAGAAAATTCTTCTCACATAATACAGACTAGAGAGAAGGCATTTTATAAAACTAAATAGATTAGAGTAAGTTCATGCTGAGTATTCTAGACAAGGACAATTTGGACTGGAACCTAATCAGACAGGGAGACCAGTGAGGTGGCAATGAGAGTCTGCAAAAAAAACCAAGAAACTGGCAGCAGCTTAGAGAGACTTGGGAGTGCAACACAGGCTTGCAGCAACAGTGTACATAGACTGCTGTAGGTAGGTTTTAAGACAGGGTTGTTATGGAAACCTGAGTTTTGAGATAACAGAGGGAAAGCCTGCACTGTCAGTATAAGAAGCCTCCACCACACTTGACCAAACACCCTCCTCCAGCTCTTTTATGTAAAACTGGGGCTTTGCTAAGGTGTCATAGCACCTTCCTCATGTCTTCAAACTAGAATGCTGCTTTCTGCTATTTTAATGGCACACTGTAAATCCACACAGATTGAAGAACAAGTTTTTATTATAGGGAAGTTGTAACAAAGTGCCTCTGCAAACTGAAATCTCCCTATTTACAAGACAGGCAGTATTTTTTTAGAAGTTTTATTCCCTGAATAATTTGATGCTTAAGTCTGAAATGCGTTAGCTTCCTAGCTAATACATGTCTTTAACAATAGGAAAAAAAGTAGGAAAGTAGGAGAAACCCTTTAAATGCAGAAACAGGAGCAGAATGATTCAGTTGAAAGTGACTAGGAGCCTTCTTTAAATAGCCACATTAAAGCAGAAAAACAAGCAGTGGCATTAGGTATACTTACTGCCTGTGTTGAGGAAAATGATGGTAAGTCAACCTGCCACAAGGCAAAGAGTAGCCTCCTACTGCCCCCCCTCTAGAACAGTTACCTTCTCCAAGGCTCTTGTGTCTCTGTCTCTTCATTGTAGTCCATCACTTTGTAGCGTCCAAGGTGAGGTGATGTTCCTGCTAACTGAATCCTTTAAAACAACAAACAAAATGTTTGCTTAGGCATAAAGATGCCATTTCTAGGCTCAGTTATAGGGAAGTTCAAAGTCAGAGATGATTTTCAGTGTTAATGCAATCAAAGCAAAATGCAGATGCTGAAGGGAGTGAGTTTATCACCACAGTGCCACATTATCTTTAGCAGGTTCTAACCAGGCTTGGGCTAGAAAGTGCCCAGCTGCAGCACGCTTCAACAGGGTACAGAGAGGATTATAACAAGCAGGGAATGAAAGACAGCATACAGAGCATTCAAGAGCAATTCTGTTGAATCTGACAGTTGAGCATTATTTTCACTTCCTTGTAAAAGCAGAGCTTTTACTGCCTAGAGGTCCATTACCTAAACTTAAAAAACAAAACCAAAACAAACTTGCAGTTTCTGAAAGGAAGCCAGTCCTGAGTTTCAGATCCAGATTAAGCCTCTCTCTGTTCTTTGAGAAGTGCCATTCATTCAGAGGACTGGTTTCATAAAAGATTAATGATAAATTCAGGCACTAGGCAAAAAAATATGAGCTGCTCAGCTGTAGGACAGTTACGTAAGAAAAGTGAAGTGAAGGCTCAGAATTCCAGAACAGAGCCCCTAAAACCAGCATTTTGGGTGACTTTCAAGCAACCCATTGCTGACGGCATCCATGTTAGTTTACCAATGAAAGGTGCCTGTAATAGTGCTAGGGCTAGCAAACCTCTGTTATCACAGGGCAGCTCTTACATGCAGAGAAAATTCCTGTGAATGTAAGAATGAATGTTTGCTCAACTGAGGTTATCTAACTGGCATGTTTGCAATATTTGATTCCCTTCTATTGAGATCTGGTACAGCAGCAAGCTGCACTG